ATTCCTCAGCACCACATAAGCAGGAAAAGCCAGAAGTGGGGCTGTGGCTCAAGTGGTAGAGCGCTAGCCTTGAGCTGAAGAGCTGAGGGACAGCGCCCAGGCCCAGAGTTCAGGCCCCACAACCAACAACAACAAGAACAAAAAAGTAAAATAGCAAGAGACAAGTGTAACAATGGTACTCACTGGATACTATGTAGAAAATGAACTATACAACTTGTGGGTAGGGATAGGAGGGAGAAAAATGAAAGAAAGCAAGAGAAGGAATAATACTGTCCAAAAAGAAATGCACTCATTACCTGACTTATATAACTGTAACCCCTCTGTATATTTCACTTTAATAATATTTTAAAAATGAAAAAATTTTAAATATAGCAAGAGAAAATAGGCAAACAAGGCGAGAAGCCAGGGAAAAATTACCATCTGCTAGGAATAGATCCCATCTACTCCTTCCCATCCAGCTTCTTATGTAAGTTATTTTGGAGGTATTTGTTTCCAGCTTAGGTCTCATAAGGCAGTGCTACAGAGTTCAAACACGTTCACACACACACACACACACACACACATCTACAATCCTGTATTCACAATACTGGGGGGGGGGGGGGGGGAAGCTCCAAGACAGTTATGTATCTTATTTGGCAGCAAAGCTTGATCTGATTTGAACTCATTGACCTCAACCGGCATGAGGTTATAGACAGTTTACATTTCCTTCACAGGGAAATATTTATGTATTTCACTGTGGGGGAAAAAAAAAACTGATGTATATACTGTGGTAGTTCCAGAAGTTTCAGATAAGGAGTTATAGTTCAACTGAATTAGGCCAGCCCTGATACATACAATACTAATTAAAATAGAGGGTTTCTAAGCTAAAAATAATCTTAAGGGCATAGCGAATCTGACACCTTCCTTTCCATGTGAGGAAACTGAGCCTCTCAGGGCCCTCTGACTCACCCTGGTCAGTTAGCTTACCACCCACAAGCTCCTCCCGTCACCCTCGCCTACCGACCATTATACCCCTTCTGAGGAGAGTCACTTCTGCATCCAACGCTAGAGCTGCCTGATAAGAGCTCCCCAGGCTCTCCTAGAAAGTACCTGATTCAGCTGAAGGGGGGAACTCATTGTCTTTGCATTTCCTTCCTTCAATTACAATTACTTTCCCAAAATTTGGATATATATATTTTTTTCTTTTTGCCAGTCTCAGGGCTTGAACTCAGGGCCTGGGCACTGTCCTTGAGCTCAAGGCTAGCACTCTACCACTTCAGCCACAGTGCCACTTCCAACTTTTTCTGTTTATGTGGTACTGAGGAATCGAACCCAGGGCTTCATGTAAGCTAGACAAGCCCTCTACCACTAAGCCACACTGCTAGCCTGGATGAGTATATTCTATTTTTTCTTTTTTTTTTTTTTTTGCCAGTCCTGGGGCTTGAACTCAGGACTGGGCACTGGGCCTGAGCTTCTTTTGCTCAAGGTTAGTACTCTACCTCTTGAGCCACAGTGCTACTTCCAGCTTTTTCTCTTTATACAGCATTAAGAAATCAAACCCAGGGCTTCATGCATGCTAGGCAAACACTCTACCCACTAAGCCACATTCCCAGCACTGGATGAATGAATATATTCTTAAAACAGAGCAACCAGTCAGGAAGTGGTGGCTCACACCTGTAATCCTTGCTACTCTGGAGGCTGAGCGTTGAGAAGCGCAGTTCAAAGTAAGCCCCAGCAAGAAAGTCTGTGAGATTCCTATCTCTAATAATTAACTAACAAAGCAGAAGTGTGGCAAAAAAAAAAAAAAAGTTCAGGGATAGTGCTCAAACTCTGAGTTCAAGAACAAAACAAAAGGAATATAGGAATCAATACCTCTTCTATGTTCTGGGCTGACTGGAACCATGATCCTCACGTGTCAGCCTCTAGTATAGCTAGGATTACAGGCGTGAGGGAGCCGTGCCACCCAAATTAAGGATATAAGATACTAATGAATTCCAGCAGCAGCAGCAATTACTGTTTAATGAGAGTCCATTATTGTCACAAATTGTGTGGAGATGAGAGATACTTTTCTCACCGATCTTAATCCCACCAATCCTACTGGGAAAGTATTTCTGCATTTATTTTCGAGATGAGGAAGCTTAGAGAGATTAAGTATCCTTTCTAAGATCAGACAGAGGGCAGCCTGGGATGATTAAGACACCAGGACACCACACAGCCTGGTGTGGTGGTGCACACTTGGAGTTCCAGCACTTCGATGGGTACTACAGAAGAATGTAGGGTTCAAGACGGTCTGCCTCATGACCATCTCACAACAAACAAGTAATTCAATAGCAACTGGGCACTTAACTGTGTATAGATACATTAAGTTGTAACAAGAGGGAGGGGGAAAAAGAGAACTGCAGAGAGTAAAGTAATAAGTAGAGTATTAGTTGTTGAATCGCCAGCAGAGATTGGAAGATTGGAAGGCCTTCTTTCAACATCAGTCCAGGCTTGACAGGATTTCAGATTTTTATCCTGGGTGTAGGCTAATTCCACTCCAAACTTTCTGGAAGCTGGGGGGGGGGAGGGGCGGAGATGGATAAAAGCCTATGCAAATAGTAAGTCCTTCACTGCTAACCTCTAATTCCTAAGATAGGAACTCATTTATCTCTTGAATAAGATTGTATCACAAGATGGGTGGTGGTGACTTCAAGAATATTGATATCAGACTTCCTGCACTAAGCCACTATACCCTACTCCATAAATACCTGGTAAAAAGGCCCTTGGGCACTGGTGGAAGATGGAGCAGGCTACAGGTTGCCCTGGTGCCCCAAACCTCTAATCCACCATCACATGTCCCTTACTGCCTGGTTCCAGGTTGCAGGGGGTTGTGATGTTTACACAGATTTCACACTTCTAAGTCTGGATCTTTCTCACTGTGACCTATGCGACTTATGTTTTTCAGTCCTTAGAACTACTAAAAGTGCCCCCTTGGGAACATGCCAGACGATTCAGAGATCATTCAACACCTAGAGTGCACACTCTGGCAGTACCTGGCACTGTGCTTGGGCCACGGTGTGGGTGATTCATGAGCTAACTCCTCCTATTGAGCTTATAATCCACAAGTACAAAGTAGGTAGAGACTTCATAAACATGTGTACTGTGTTCAGCCTTTCTAAAAATTATTCTGTTCGTTGTATTGGTAGAAAATTGTCATAAAAAGCGAGAAGGTAGGGGCTGGGAAGTTGGCTCAGCGGTAGAGTGCTTGCCTCTGATGCATGAGGCCCTGGGTTCGATTCCTTAGCACCACATAAGCAAAAAGAAAAAAAGCCGGAAGTGGCGCTGTGGCTCAAGTGGTAGAGTGCTAGCCTTGAGCTGAAGAGCTGAGGGACAGCGCCCAGGCCCAGAGTTCAGCCCATGACCGACAAAAAAAAAATGAGAAGGCAGATTTCAAATCACTTGCAAATACAGCATTTCTCCCTCTGGCTAAAATCACACCCGGCTAAAATCACACACAGTTCTCATCTGCTGAAAGTCTGTGTACCCTTGTTGAAGATGAGTATTACTAAACAGGGCTTTGGTGGTTTCCACACCTGTAATCCTAGCTATTCTAGAGGGCAAGATCTGAGGATGGCAGCTCGATGCCAGCTCACGCAGGCCAAGTCCATGAGAGTCCTTCCCAGAGAACCACCTAGAAGCCGGAAGTGAAGCTGTGGCTCAACTGGTAAAGCACCAGCCTTGAGTGAAAAGGCTCAAGGGCAGTGCCCAGACCTGAGTTAAAGCCCCTAGGATGGGGGGGGGGGGGGGGGGGAGGGGTTGACTACTGTATTAGGCTTCCAATAATATCAGTGTTGAAGTTTATTCCAAGGAGCACAAAATCCATTTCTCCCGGCTGTTCCCAAACGTATTACCTGAGCTGCATTATGGGCACATTAACGAAAAGACAGATCAAGAAAGGCCTAGCTTGGGTGATCTAAATCATTAGCAAATCCCGTGACCCAAGGAGGTCCGGGGCTGAAGTCCAAGACAGTTTTACCCAGTGCCGGTCACCTGACCAGGGGCCCTCCTGGATTTCCAGGCAGGCAGAAACGCCTTGGGGCCGGCGGGGCGACCTTTCCCACCGGTGTGCGCACACCTGCACAGGGCCTCCACGTGCTAACCGACCAACCCCGGGCAGTCCAAAACTGCGCAGGGAACCTTTCAACCTTAAATCCTTTGAAGGTGGGGGGCCAGCTCACTTTCCCCATTCAAATTCACAGGACACCCCCCCCCAAAAGAAGAAACGCATGCGGATAGCTGCGGCACAGAAGTTTGAACCTAGAAGAGATTAAGATCGGGTGCTTGCAAGGTGGTGACGAGATTAGCAGGGTGGCCCGGGAGGAGAGAAACGCCTGGAAAGACAGCAGGAGCGCGCCGCGGGGGGACAAGCAGCAGCCGAGAGAGAAAACCACGGTCTAGATCCAGGGCCGGGGTGGGGGCGCCAGGGTGGCATGGGATCCCCGAAATGACAAGCCAGCACCCCTAACGCTTCTCCCCCCCCTC